CATTACGCTGCAGATAGAGAGGCGCGTAGTGCCCCGAGAAAATGATTTTCGCTCGTGTTTGTTCGGTTGATTAGCATGTGTGGTTTATCTTCATTTTTTAAAATTTTTGCATTGTTTCTCTCTTCTGTGTGTTTTCTTTTTTTTGGCACGAGGTCAGACGTTTCTGAACTCTGCATGGGCGGTTAATTAATACATACAGGTTTACAAACCACACATATGCACCTTTGCTTATTTAGCTACTATAATAATAAAGAGCCTGCTCCTGTTTGACTTACAGAACACTTAAAGGATTATATGAAGTCAAATGTCCATGGCGCGTACACTACATGCGTCACTTTTACCCTCTCCCGACGCCGGCCGCCCCTTTCAGTCCAATTTGTGTCGCTTGCCGCGATTGTGACAATTCATCAATATCACAGAACCGATACGCCGCGGCTTAAAGATGTCGAATGAGGTTAATGGCATCTTTAAATGCTCCTTTCTTCCACCCATATGTCCAAAACGGAGCAGGGTATTTGCAGACTGCCACCCAATGTGTTAGGATTAATTATCGCCCTCCACAACCCCACCTCACCCTGCAAGTTAAAGATTCAGAGAGGAAATGGCCCCTTTCATGCAAATGAAATTGAATATGTCAGTCAGTATAATTGTGAAAACCGAGCCGTCTTGAAATGGTGTCTGTGCCGAATAGAGGTTCCAACGAAAAGTCGGTTTATTAATGTTCTTCTCTCCACTCTTTGATTCATGCTCTTTAATGGCTTGGCAGATCAAACTTGAGTCTATGGCGGAGTCCTGATGACTTGAAATGTTTTGGCCATTGTGAAGGAAAGCCAGACCCGGGTCTCTTTGAGAGAGGCATTTAAATGCAATGTTTGGCTGGCGAGCTAAGCCAATATCAAACAAGCTTGTAATGAATTCAGATCCGGGAGATGCTCTGAACCCAACTATGACGACAGAGAAATGGGATATCATTAACAAGAGTGCTCCGTTAAACGGTCCACGGTCTGACCCTGCAACAGGTACTCACGGTAGATGGATAGTTGAATTCACGGCTGCTCCAAACCAACAAACACCAAAACACACGACTGCGACTATTGAGCAAATTCCTAAAAACTGTGTATCAAACTATAAGTTTACATCCATTTAAATAATCCATCCCTGCCCTGAAATGGCTCATATACAACTCTACACTTTCAAATGTGCAGATATATGAAGTCCGTTTTATCCACCCGCTGCAGCTGAAGCACACCAGCTCACCTACTGCTCCAACACTGTAAAACTACACAATCTGCACGACACAATAGCAACTTGTAAGATTGCTGTGATCCGGTCATATGTGTTTGAACTAGACACCAGAATAAGGATGTTCAAACTGACAGGATTAGTTCCTGACATTTGTGAGGCAAGAAGGCAAATCTGGAGTCTGAATTGGTGTTTTTCAGACATCAGGACACTACATTTTACATCAACCAAGGTGATGACTGCCTATTTTGCACATGATGTGTCTTTTAGCATACAGAAAAACACTATGTTGACATGCTAACATGGTAAAAAACTTGATTCTACCATGTGTTCTTTGAGGATTTTGATCTGCTATGTTTACATTTTACTCTTCCAGACTGAATTAACTTTCAGTTTGTAAACTCATTCCTATTTGGTTGTCGGGTTAGGGCTAATCTGCATCTTAGTTTGAACAAATAAAGTGATTTTTGGGTGCATAGCAGCTAGAACTAGCATCACTGGCTTCATTTCTTCCTTCCCTTACATATAGATTGGAGATTTACTGGGTTTTTCCTTTTCAAATTAACTCTGCAAACATTGTATTCTGACTTTTAAGCCAGCCTGTGGACTGTTGCTACACATCCTCTGCAAGTTAACATCTCTGATCAACTGTTGCATGAGGTTGACCACAGACCAGTGCGGTGGTTTTGATTTGCGTAGAATTGAGGAGAAACACCTAAACTTGGGGTAAATCAGGTCGAATGCAACGTGACCGCCCCGGTGCGGTGATGTAATTCCAGGATAATCACCTCAAACAGCCTGATTAGCAGATCAGACCGCTTTGTCTAAATGGTAGTGTACATGTTTGATATCTAGAAAGAGCCAAGCGATCAGAATAGCATACAGTAGCAGCAACAGTAATTAATGTCATCTCCTGCCCACATCGCTAGAGCCTTCCAATTTCCATTTATGTTTAGCCATTAAAAATAGATAGTCATGAAACGGTCTGCCCCCTCAGCCCCGTGGACATGGATGTTCTGAGGAGCGGTGAAGGCTTTCGCTCAGACACCAAATCATTAACATGGCATTGATCCATGAGAAATGGAGCCGTGGGACGCGATGAAGAGCTCCTTCATTTCCTGCGGCGACGCGATGAGCGAGGCGACGCGATGACCTCAAGGGAGGGCAGGCGCAGGGCCCCCGTCGCTTACCTTTTCAGCTTGTGACAGGCTTTACGCTTCTCATTTGTTTGCTGGCGACAGCTTAGCACTGGATTAACAGGTGCCTAGCCGCGGTATTAATTCATGTAGATTGCCTCTCCGAGGAGATGTACACATGCAGCTGAAGGTAAAGGAAGCAAAAACAGTGCTCACGTGCCATTCCTAATGCTGCTAATTAAGTGCAATTTTACTCAAATTAATATGATTACAGGAAAACAAATGCCACATTATTATTTTCAGTCACCACCAAAAGAAAAAAGAAGGTGTTTCTTTATGGTGCATGAAGTTTGTGCGGTGTTTGTTCATACAGCGTGTCCTTTTATTTGCTGTCAAGGCTCCGGCTGTGGCATTGTTTAGACAAAACCGAGGTTTCAATCAGCCTCTGTCTACCTGAAGCCATACGAGGACTCGACCAAAATGGATGTTTGTCAGCGGCAGACCTAAAATGGGGGTATGATGGTGATATCAGCGGCCATGTCTGTGAAAACACCATTACCTCCATGTCACGCCTCAATCACTCCCCATTGTGCGATGACTCTCCTCCCCACCTCCCTCCTCCTCCACCTTCTTCCCCTCTCCTCCAGTGCTGATCTCCCCCCGTACATGCCGTAGAAGTCTATTACAGCCAGCATAGGGAGACGCACCGAGCCATAATGGATGGCCCCGGAGCGAAAAACAGCCCCAATAGCATATCAATTACCCATCAGCACCTTCTTGGCTGGGTGCCAATGTGCACCACACCCTAGCCAAGTCAATGAGATAAGGTGCAAATGCAGATATAATAGTGCTCTTTTTTTTTTTTTGGTTGCCACGTACAAATTACACAGTGTCAACTCTGCCTGGCCACCTGTCGGATCCATCAGCAGGTGAATGAGAGGAAGATTCGCCCAAGTGTGTGTGTGAGGGAGTTGTTAATGCCTGTGTGCACTCAAGGCTGTGTGAGGAAATCAGGTGATTTCCCAGACTCATTTGCCCAGTATAAGCCCAGCTGCTTGCCTGTTTATCTGCTCGCCCTTTTGATTGCCGGCCACACATCTTATGTCACCTCTCCGAGAATCCTGCAGGTTAATTTGTGCCTCGCTCGCAGCGCCGTCGCCGCCGCCGCCGCTGGGCAGTACAATCTGGGAGGGGAAATCAGTCGGCGGACAAGCACAATGAGACATTCTCACACGCAAAGATGAGGTGATTCAGACGGCTGGCGTTACTGCAGCTGTGTGGCCCCTAATGGCCTGCTGAAGTGATTGATAAAAGGCAAACAGTTGCTCCGCGGGGGGACAGATGGAGCTGCTGCACCTCCCACTGAAGCTGGCACTCGAGCTTCAGAGGAAAACACCGTGGAGGGGAGAGGGAGAGGGAGCGTCTGACTTAGCACTTTGACATTATTGCCGTTGAAATTACAAGAGCCTCGACGGCGACGATAAGGCCGTAAATCTCATAATCAAAACATCGCCGGGGAGAGACTGGTGCCTTTGATTACTAATCACTTTCATGTGTTCTGATTTTCCTGCGATTGTAACAGAAGCATCGGCACGTGAGCAGGAACCGATGGGAGAAAAGAAATATACGAGGCGAGACAACTGAACTGAATGTAAATGGGGAATCTTTTTACTGTACTTCTAGAAATCCAGCTACAAACCTCCTCGCCACAGGACATGGAAACGTCCACACAAAGCAAACACTGTTCCACTCACCTCAGCTCCCCTGCATTTCTAGCATCTCTATCCTCGTTTTGCTTCACACTCGACTTGCCGGGCTGAATTCGGGGCCCAATTAGGAGCAACAGATTGCTCGCGGTGACAATCGGAGCATTTTGAGGCACTTTGTCAGGTGCGTGTCTCATTTTGCGCCGCCGTTGGAATCGGTGGTGATCGGGGAGGGGATTAGCGGCGTCTGTAAGCGAACAGATAAACGGGCCCCTGTTTCTCTAAAATGGGAAAGTTTGGAAAACGTTAGCGATGATTTATGTTCAGACACATGAGGGACCGGCTCACACACAATCATCCATTCACACGTATTTATGACAAACCACTAATGGGGGAAAGTTTTTCTCCGTCTAGTGGGTTTAAAATTGAGCGACTCACCAGCAAGTCACCAGAAATCCTAACTGATCTCCAAATTTCCTTTTCAGAACATCAAATATACTATTGTTGTTCTTTAATCCTTTCCTTCCTTCTTTCTTTCCCACAACCAAAACGTTCTTTCACCCAGTAATTCCAGCCTTAGCCGGTCATCCCTCAGTGGAGATTTCAGATTTACAAAATACTTCCAGGGTCAAGATAAAAATGTTTTGCACATTCTGCTGCCCCACACCTCTGTCCTCTTACTTCTGATCTCAGCAGCTGATCATCGGTTTCCACTTGCACAATAAAGTCAGTATAATCTCTTGTCTTGACCTCCAAAAGACAATCCTCTTAAAAGCCACATGCTGAAATCTGCAACTTTCCCACTTTCTAGCGTGTGTGGCTTGATAAGAGAGATTAATTGCTCCGTCTGCAATGCTTAGCATACTCGCTAACTATTTTTTTCTGTTGCTATCTTTTATCCCGTCTCTCTCTCCAGCACCACCAAAGTTTTTAAGAACCCCCAATGACCAAACAGGCGTGCAAGGAGGTGTGGCATCCTTTATCTGCCAAGCTACAGGAGATCCACGGCCGAAGATTGTGTGGAACAAGAAGGGGAAGAAAGTCAGCAACCAGAGATTTGAGGTATTAGGTCTATTGTTCTGATGTAAAATGCTCGACAAAATGGGAATGCTTCAGCACTGCTTTTGGCTCCGCTCGCACATAATCCATTGCGCCAAGCCTCGCTCGCTCGCTTGCTTTTCGCCCTGACTTGCCACCACGCATTAGCAGGCTCTAATAATCATGCTGGCCAGGCTTTTAAACATGCATGAGTTTTAATGAGCGAGTACACAAAAGATCTGGGGACAAATTAGTAATTAAATAAAAGACAAGGAAAGAGCAATTGGATAGAAGAAGAAGGAAAAAAAAAAAAACAACTTGTGGTGTGACCCAGATACCTACATTAGCATCACGCCACATTTGCCAGCTTCATGCGAAGTGAAAGGCGAAGTAGTGCTTTCACTTCGAAATATCCTTTTGCTTTGTGGCATCTTTATCTAAATGCATGCACCCCCCCCCCTCTCCTCCTTTTTTTGGCTGAAGCTTTGATTTCTGGTCAGCTTTAATCTGCACTTGGGCTCAATACCCATGAGAAATAACACATCATCGCAGAACACTGATAAGATTTCTATTAATTTCTGTGTCAGTCCTCGGGACTATCATGGTGCCACTTCTTTTTTTTTTTCCCCGTCTCTGCTCCAGATGCCATATTTACTCGCTACTGCATAGCAGCAATGGCTTAACAGAGCTCGGAGACCTCTTCCCACCTCTTATTTGCGTCTCATGCCCACAGAAATCTAATCTTATCAGAGTTCATCACGTTTGCATCGCACGTTGCGCCGAATGCTAACACACTCGTTTTCATTCCTCGGTTGCCTCACAGGGCTTGCTGGCTGCTGCCATTCCGCACCCATTCAATCACACAGCGCCGCCTCATCTTCTAACAAAAACCCATTTCCCTTTAGAAGTCTCAGAACTTCGTCTCTAATTTGCTCCTCGGCTTTGACTAAGAAAGGAGGCTGTTTCTACCATCACCTGCTGACAGCTTGAATGCCAACACCGCTGTAGCTTGGCCAATGAAATGTTAAAGTGTATTGTTAACTAACACATGCTCAGATATACTGTGAACTTGGAAAAAAAAAAAAAAACAACTGTCCGCAGGCCTCTGAGTGTCTGTGCGTGTGTGAGAATGTGCGAGGATGTGGCGTGAGGCAGAGGTCTCAGGCCTATCTTTATTGAAATCTACCTCTATGCTTAAAAGAGATTGAGTTATGACACAGGGCTTTCTAAAATCAGTGAGTATACAACACGTAGCATGCGAAAATAGCTGAATAAGCTACAACAAACACCTGTTTGTGAGCATTTTATGTGTCGTTTGTCCAAAACAGTCGGTCCTGTCTTTTATACCACTACCTCACCTCATGGTACAACTGTCCGTTTAACCGTTTATCAAGCCACCTTTAACTGTTTGTGCTTGTTTCTGTCCCATCGACAAAATCCAGTGTGATGCATTTTTCCTCAAAGGATAGAGTGTTAACTTTAAGAGTGGGACACGTTCAGATTTAAATTTCGCTCTCCAGCCGAATGTTCAAGCAAAAACTTTCCAAGACGACCTTCCCCATTCTTAAAGTTAGTCAGCTACATTGATTATTTTTACTACTTAATGCACAAACTATACATCCGATCTAATTCATTTACTGGAAGAAAGCACGTCTGAACACATAAATGGATTTAATACATTCGCAAATCAAATATGCTCAGAAACTACATTACCGATGCTAATTTTAAAACTGCAAAGATCCTGAAGGTACTTTTTTTTTTGGTGTGTAATCACAATAAAAGGTAGGCAGCAGCTCTCGTCTCTGTCATAGGAAGCACATTGTGTTGGTCACCATCAGTGTTGTTAGCCAAACGTCTTCGACAGTGTTGTCTTTGTTTTTTCTGCAGAAGGTCCCTCACCCATTGTGAACAAAAAAATCTCCTTTAACATATCCTGTCTCTCGCACCTGCAGGTGATTGAGTTCGATGACGGCTCTGGTTCAGTGCTAAGAATTCAGCCATTGCGCACGCCCCGAGACGAAGCCATATATGAATGCGTCGCCTCCAACAGTGTTGGAGAGACGAGCGCTACCACCAGACTCACTGTTTTACGTGGTAGGTCCTCCTCGGCAACGCCTAAAGCAAGACAACACACACACACTCGCACCACTAACATGCCCTTTTCTCCAAACTAACCCAGGTAAGCTTGCATTTATTTGTTCTATGTCTGTCCTGTCCTCTTTTTTTTCCTCGTTTCTCACCGTCTCTCTCTCTCTGTGCTCAGTCGAACCCAATCGGGAGTCTGTGGTTACACTCACGTCGTGCATTCTAACTTGATAAGATTTAGTTCATTAGCCGTTTAGCCAAGTAAGTTTCCGTTTCTAAGTGACTTAAGTCATTTGCATACAGATTTCTGACACAATAATTAAGATGCCAGTTAAATTATGCAAATAGCCATCCGCTCCTAGCCCGCGGTGGTTTAATGGAAAAAGCTCAGCAATAATTTTCAAATCAGTCATTTTTCATCTCTGCACTTCAGCTTTGATATTCAGTTGACCGTGTAGAAAATAAAGCGGGCGTGCTCGCGTGTGATTAACAGGCGCGCATTGTTGGCGGCGGCGTTCCGGTGGCAGGTTGACGCCGTGTCGGTGTCTTCCGGTGACCGGCGGCTTTTTAATGCGCGGCACTCCTCCACACAAACACGTGTAACAATCCAGGCGGGAAAGGTCAGCCACTTTGTTTACTTCCAGCGAGAGTAAAAAAAAAAAAAAAAAGTCAGACGGCAAATATCAAGTTGGATGACAGTGTCTCTTTTATAATAAGCGCTGAGCTAAAAAAAAATAAAAAATTATCTTGATTACACACAACATTCCATTCAAAGGGAAATATGTGGTGGCCCTGAGCTCAAAGGACTGCGTAATATCTCTCTAAAACATGACTTGTTTGGCTGTGAATGGAGAAAATGGCTTTAGAAAGAAAAAAAAAAAAAAGCCTTGGGCTGCTTGAATGAGGTGTGCTCCATTATGTGCCACAATTACACAACATGGCAAATGAGTTCCTATTGAGAGGGGTGCTTCCATCCTATAGAAAAAAAGCTGGCTCGGCGAGTCTCTGAAGCCTCCCCACCCCACAGCAAAACCACCTCCCCTTCCCCTTCCCCGCCTGCCATGCTTCTTATCTCACCAGCGAGCCAACAAAAGGCCCTTTGCACTGTCTCCAGAGGCCGATTGAAAGAGAAAGGTGGCACGTTCACATGCAGCTCTCTCTCCTGTTTACTCTGGAGTGAGTGTATGTGTTGCCTTTCCTCGCTCACATGCAATATTGTGCACACTTCCCTCTTTTCCCTTTTTCACTCTGTCTCTATCTCTGTATTTCACCTTCGCTTGCACACACACACACACCAGCAGATAGCAGAGGGACGGGTAGAAGCTGCTCTTCCCGGCTGCACGGCCTAGCATTAGCATGTTTATTACCATTTCCATTTTGCTCTTCTGCTCGCTCTCCTTTCCCATCAATGTATTGAAGGTGAGTAGAGGCCTATCACGTCCCTCTCCTCCCCACCTACCCCCCCAAAAAAAATTGGAAAAACAGGAGCGAGCTATTTTATTTTTTTCTTCTTCTGCGCTTTGGTGCAAATATAAAGTTGTGCTCTCTCTCTCACCTCGCCTCCCGTGGACACAAAATATTGGCTTTGTGAAGGATTCAGGTCATAATCTGAAGAAATTTAATATCAATATTTGTTTCTCTTACGCTTGCGATGAAACACCTGAGCGTTTGCTAGACAGCTGGCATCTCGTGTGTCTTATCGAGGAACTATATGCACACTGGAGACGGTGCCGTTTGAAAAAAAACTAAAAATAAATGAAAGAGGCATTATGAGAAGCATTGTAGTCATAACAGTAGACGCAGCTTGAGGAAAGAAAGGAAGCCATTTCTCCCTTTTTTTTTTTTTTACACAAAAATGAAATGATACCACAGTGCTGGCAAGGATATTGAGGATTACTATAATAACATAAACTCGAGCTGTACTTAAAATCTTTCCAACAGTTACAAATTCAAGTTCTTCAAAAAGACCCAACGTAAGGATGACTTTGACTCTCAGGAAGCTGGAGTAAGCTGACACGCTGCCTCGTAAAGGGCATAGTAGCGTACGAGCAGCTTGCAAGGTTACCTCAAGGATGCTTTATGTTTTATTTAGGAGACCAAAAAGCCTCCTCTGTCCAAAAACACTCCGTATAGTACAATAACTACGGCGCTGCTGGTTTGCAACTCATCACTCCACCAGACGTAAACTGCAGTTTGAAAAATGCAACAGCCCTTTTTTTTTTTTTTCTGTCAGCATCACCAGCAAACGTGATTTATCTCCTCCTCTGGCTATTTCAGCGGAGAGACTTCATCTTGCACAAGTGTGCAATGCTGGAGATAAATAAATAAGCAAATAAAGATAAGTGCTATTACACCAGGCCTAATACATATAAAGTGACTGTTCGTTTAGTTCATTTAGGCTCCAATGGTCTGTGGAAACGACTGCAAAGCATCTGTTGTGGGAAGCTCGCCACGGGGGGCGACGCCTAATTCCATGAAGGGGGGGAAAAAAAAAAAAGGCATATTGTTGTAATTGCCATGTTATGAGGAGAGGGGACTTGAGGTGACAAATCCAAAGTACCAGCGGATATTAGTATTCGGATGGGTCTCCAACTTGATGGGAACCGCCATTAGTAATGAACTTCCAGGCTTAGAGAAGCGATTTGCATGAAAGGCGAACTCTGAAACGTAATGATGTTCCGAGTCAAATCTGCCAGGCCACGGCATGAGGTACGGGTTTTTCTTATTGCACTTTTTTTTTTCTTCTTCTTCTTCTTCTCCTTTTTTTCTTTTCTTTTTGTAACACCCTCTGTTTTGATTAACTACGAGATGACCCGACTCATATGCGACTCGTGTCTTTGAATTAAGGTCGTCTTGATTTTCCTGGTAATTGAGAATGACGTGGAGGAATTGAAAAACGAAGAAACGGCACATTTCGGGTGTCACGGCTGGGATGTGATTTCAGCAAAGCGCGATTCGGTCTCGTTCATGAATATGGACGTGAGCTCCTGAGCGTCGCTAGACAATGTTAGAACAGTTAACCGTGAACAAACAAAAAAAGGAACGCGTGAAAAATGCAGCCAAAAACACCTCACAGGGTCTCCCGCTCTCTGCTAGCCGCGGTTCCAGCAGAATGATGTGTGCATTTGAGTGCTGCAGTTCATGATTCAGGCATGATTAAGGATTTATATTGCATCCTCATACTCCCATTATGCTGTCAACAGCCATTTCCTGTGCCCCCACACACAAGCGAGCAAACTTATGCAGCTGTGCACAACTTGACAGTGGGAGCGGAAAATGGGAAGCCGCTCTCCTGTGACGGAAAAACAGAATGCATCATTTCCATTTGTATGGAATGGTGCAAATGCACGGTCAGAGCTGCGCGGCTGAGACGGATCTTTCCACATACGATGAAAGGGCTTGCTACATGATCAGTGATTATTCATAGACAATGCTCGGCTCTTTGTCATCGTTATGGGAGGGGGGGGGAAAAAGCAGTTTCCACACTTAACAACAGACACCAAAAGCCGCCTAATTCATATTCCGAACCTGGTCGACTGATATCCAGAAAATGTGGGTCAAAATAAAGCGTGCGGACCTGCCTGCACAGCAAGAAAGGAAGGAAAAGTGGCTGATAACAATGATTAAAATGTACCTTAATTCTCATTCCTAAACATCATTTTTCATCTCTTTTTGCACCACTTGTAAGTGCAAGATGAACAAAAAGCCGAGGCCCCGCGCTGCTCAAATTGCTCGGGGAAGATAAATGCTGCGTCAGCTGTCTCGGACTGTCGGAGCAAGCGTTGCAATCGGGGGAAGAAGCGAGTGACCATTGTAAAATTACTGTGTTTGTGATCAGTGGCTTGCAAAAAAAAAAAAGGAAGGAGAGAAGGGGCGGCCGGCAGCTACCGTACAATTCTCTGGTTTGCTGGCGGGAGCTCTATAGATGGCAAGACCTGAGCCGCCACATGGAACACTCAATTTTGTTAGAAAAATACAAAAAAAAAGATGGTGCCAAGGAAACATGCTGACTCACTGTAGGAGGAGTTTTTATAAGTTCTCGGAACAGATTTATCTTCTTTGTGCCGGCGTTCCAGAAGTTAACAGCGTTTCTTTAGCAGGTTTTACATGTAAATAAGTAGCCATTAAGCACTCGTGGCGTACTTTTTCTCTGCCTCTCCCTGGGACAAGTAGTGACTGAGTGCAACCACCTTCGCAGACAGTCAATTATCAGCATGTCCATTAGATGTTTCATAAAATATCCACAGGCAGAGTTATTGCCTGGGATTCGGCCAGCGCTGCCTTGATGCTCCTCTCCTCTCAATTCCCAACTTCACTCTCTCATACGTCACAAAAATGGAGCACAGAATGACAAGGTATTCATTATTGTAATTAAAAAGATGGAGTTGCCTGTCCTCGCAGAAATTGATCTCTTCTTGGAAAAAAAAAAAAAAAAACTCATCCCCCCACACCCCTCTATAACTTACTGCATGGTTAATCATGAGAGCCAATCAGTATCTATATAATACGCAGGATGATTTAAAACAAAACCGCCGCTGACAAGATGGATGTTCGACTCCGCAGTCTGCATAGTGTGCGAGAAAACATCTGCTGGGGCCTCCGAGGCACTTGGACTGCACTCTGACCATGATAGATAACTCTGCACATGCCGTGGCTCTGGATTTGTTTTAATAAAAGTAAACACGGCCTTCTAAATTAATAATTATTGATTCAGACCAATGAGGTTTTTTTTTTTTTTTTCCCCTCCTTGTTGGTCATAAATGCCACTTCCCTCCACAGTGACCTCACAGCACTGGCAGTGGCTTTACAGTGGAAATAGTGCCTCACATCTCATTAAAATGCAACAACAAAATGGTTCTTTGTGAGACTTTTGATCTTATCTCACATGCATAGAGGGTAACATAATTGTGTGAAGTGTCATTAGAGGCTCTATAGTTGCAGGTAATTGTATGATAATGCCGCCACCGTGCCGCTAACATTTGCTCCATCCTCTCCACATGTTTCTACCG